AACAACACAACCCACCCCCCACACACACACACACACACACACACACACAGCTGTCATAAGACAATTTGAAAGAGTTAGTTCTTCTCTTCCAAGATGGAACTCAGGTTATCTGGTTTGGCAAGCTATCTCACCGTCCTGCCCCCAGGAAGTCTCTATCCTGCCTTGGTCACCACCGTTTTCCCCCAACACATTCAGCCAGGGTCCCTTCCACTGTGGGAGAATGTGGATGGGATTTGTTCCCTCAAACAAATACAGGAGCTATTGTGGTGAAGTCTCCATCTGCCTCCCTCTCCTTGTTTCTTTCCTTTCTTTCCTCCCAGAATGGAGCCATCATGAATAAGGGCACAGGGCGCTGCCTGGAGGTAGAGAACCGGGGCCTGGCTGGCATTGACCTCATCCTCAGAAGCTGTACAGGACAGAGGTGGACAATCAAGAACTCCATCAAGTAGATGGAAGGAAGGAGGGCACATGGATCCCAGACCCAGGACAGGGCCTGGTGAGCCTCGGAACCAGCCACATGGTGGAGAGACAGCAGGCACCCAGCAGGTGCTCAGTGGGCCTCCCAGGGCTCCTCCAGGGCAGCCTTGGATAAAAAAGTTAAGTCCCTCTCAGGCATTCAGCCTGACACTCTGAAGATCTCCCCTCACCTGTGTCTGGGAGACCAGGAGCTGCATCTTCTGGGTACCAAGGGGCAAAACCGCTCTTAGCTCTCTACCATACCATCTCCTACCCAGCACCAGCAGCTGGGCCTGGCAGGGGGTCTCTCTCTCTCTCTCTCTCTCTCTCTCTCTCTCTCTCTCGCTGCAGCTGCTTGTGAAACTCACCCTGGCTCTCCAAGAAATGGGGGGACACTGGGGGTTTTAGCCGCCACATCCTAGCTCCCTCTTGAAGAAGGAGGAGGCAATGAGACCCCAAGACTTCATTTCTCCTGAAGACACTTTGGCCCAGGTGTCTGTTCATATGCCAAGGCAGCCACCACCCAGACCTTCCCAACAGGGTGACTTTGGGACAACAGTTCTGGACTCCTCTGGATTCTTCTTGAGGCACCCTGTCTCAGTCACCTGGAGTCCTAAATATGAACAGCATCTGCCTGTGTCTAGAGGAAGCCAAAGTCAGCTAAGCATGCAGGATGCTCCCAGTACCTGGCCAGTACCGCCAGGGACAAGGTGTCCTGGTTTCATGGCACAGCAAGGGTCTTCTGTGCAGGACATAAGGGCTGAAGAGTCAGCCTAGCAATGGGCATAGGGCGCCTCCCCGCCATGCTTAGCACTCAGCTCATATCACCCCACCCTCTGCTGGCTGATGGGGGACAGAAGTTTCCTCTTGTAAGAGTGATTGCTTCCTTCCAATTGCCCTCTGGTTAGGGTGCACTTATAATCAGAGTTAATATATGGATGTGTCTGCATGCATGGGAAAGCAAGAGTGTGCCTGCCTGGGTGATGTGTGTGGCTGGGAGCTGTGTTTGTGTGCTTGAGCGTGTGAGTGTGTTAGAGCAGAAGTAGCTGTGTGGTCTTGGGCTTGTGGCTTCATTGCTCACTGGATGGGGACAAGGATGCCTAGAAGTATGGGAGTGTGTGAATGACCCCACATCCCTGGATCACTGGCCCAAAGGACGTGGCTGGGTCTTGCCTGCTAGGGTACCCCTTCTCTGTCTCCCCATCCCCATCCATGACTGTCCTTGGCCAACTCCTGCCCAGAGCCAAACCCTGTAGATGCCCAGTGTGAGATCCAGTGTCTCATTTGGTGGTATCTTCATTGGTGATCGTCCCTAGCCCCATCTTCCCTCCTTGTGAAATAAACATGCTAGCAATCCCACAATGCAAACTTCAGCCTCATCTGCCTTTTGGTTTTTATATTGTTGTTTGCTTTTGTTATTTTGCATTTGGGGATCAAATCTAACTCAAGCACTCTGCCATCAAACTACATATCCTTAACACATGAACTTAATTATTCCTGTACTCAGTGACATCAGGAGAATTTCTAAGATATGGTTCAATGTTTCTTTGCTTTAAAGGCAGTTGAAGTATGGTTTGATTTGGGACAAGGCCTTACTCTGTAGACCAGGGATAAAATACTCTGACAAAAGGTTTGTTAGGGGAGGAAATGTTTACTTGACTCAATTCCAGGTTATAATTCATCATTTTAGGGAAGTCAAATCAGGAATTTGAAGCAGCTGCTCAGTCACCTTTATGTCCAGTCAAAATCAGAGAGAAATGAATGCATTTGTGCTTGCTTGTGCTAAACTCAATTTCTCCATTTTTATATAGTTCAGGATCCCCTGCCTAGGGAATGATGCTGCCCCTAGTGGGCTGGGTCTTCCCACATCAATTAAGTAAAACAATACTCAGGCCTTCCCACAATACAATCTGGTGTAGACAGTTCCTACTGAGACTCCTCCTAGGTGGTATCAAGTTGACAATTGAAGCTAATCATCACTGCCAACACGCCTGTCTGGGTTAGGACTTACTAGGTAAACAAACAAACAACATCCTCACAGGTTGAGACAAAGCCTACGTACTTTTTTTTTTTTTTTTCTGGTTTCTCCATACAGGGTTTCTTTGTAGCTTTGGAGCCTGTCCTAGAACTCACTCTGTAGACTAAGCTGGCCTTGAACTCAGAGATCTTCATGCTTCTGCCTCAAAAGTGCTGGGATTAAAGGAGTACATCACCACTACCTGGCAACCTACCTACTCTTACACACAACATCTATTCAAAACTGGCCAGAACTTCACATTAGACACTGACTCATGTTCCCCCTGGATGACCTGAGGTTAAGAAGGTTGAGTTGTTCAGAAAGCTGTGAGCCTGGTGCTGCAGACCTG